CACTCCCATACCTGCTATACTGGAATAAAAGTAGGTGCGTAGGAACTCAAGGGGTCTTTTCGCTCCTGCTTCTACACACCACACCAAAGAAAGATGTTGTCCGTGTCTTCTTAAGCCGCGTGCGAGGCCCGATAGTCAGCCTGACTATCGTACATCACCGGTTCCCCAAATCACCCTGGAAAGGGCCAAACGTATCAATATGATGATATAAGTTGCCCATCTTTTAAGTGGTGCCGCTATTACAAATCTAAATAATAATAATAATGACATATCACAATTTTGCTGTCGAGGCAGTACACATTAGTGATATGCATTAGATTTTTCTTCAAGAATATCTTTATATTGCAATCTTCCACAAAATATTATAAGTCTTCTTATATTTGTCACACAGAACCATCTATCCAGAAGTCCCACATTACCAAGAATTATATATGTATTACAAAATAAAGTTTCTGTTTTCTACATTTTCACTCTTTCTCTGAAAAGTACCTCTTGGTTGAATCTTTGGGACACAGCTTGATTGAAAATCACAACCTTCACTGACATATTTCAGTTATTAACTCATTTGTAATCAGTAGAGCAAAATACCTATAGCCTTAGATAAAAATAAGCCTATCTAACAGCTTATTTTATATATATATTTATAGAATATCCTGCAGAGTTAAAAGGGGAAGTTTTTGAATCAGTGAAACCAGGTCTCTCAGCATATGCCAATCAGCCTAAAAGGGTAAGACTTTCTGATGTAAAATAAATTATTTTCTTTTGGCATTTGAAGATAGAATGAATCATAAAGGCAACCTACTGATCTCATTTTTTTTATTATTATTACTTATTCTCACTGGAAAATAGTAATTCTCCAAGGGTTTTCCTATTACCTCCTCCCTAAACCTAGCTGGAGATAAAAGTGATTACAGCAGGAACATTGTATGTTCAAGGACATGTTTTGCCATTAACCAATACTAACTTCTCTCAGTCCCAATATAGGCCCATAAACAATGAGAAAATTGACTGAGATTGGGGCAAGAGAACATTGACGGGACCAGTAGTTTGCCTAGTGACACAGGGATAGATGTCAATAAAGGCAATTGCATATACCTTAAGCTTAGTTCAAGAGGAAAATTTTAAATGTCAAGCTAAAGCCCTCAAAAATAAATTGGGCTTGGAGGAACAAATTGAAGAAGAGAAATGTTTTAAAAACGTAAACTAAAGTTCTGCTCAATCCTATCAGTTTTTTGTTTTTGTTTCTGCTAATCTTTAGGGAGCTGAAACTATCAGAAAATTATTAGAGATGGCTAAAAATGCTGTACCACCAGGTCACTGGAGCAAGACCCCCGTAGTATTGAAAGCCACTGCTGGTCTACGGTTGTTAGCGGAACAGAAAGCTCAAGCTCTACTCTCACAAGTAATGTTGGGTTATATACTACAAAATCAATGGTGCTATATAAAAGTGGGGGCCTTTTTCAGTCCTTTCCATTTGTGTTATGCCATGAATATGCCCCAGCTGCTTTTTAAAATACCGTATCAAACTCAATGGAAGCACTTGTAAAATCGTTGGTTATGAAAAACACTATATCCTAGATTGAGCCCTTGAGCCCTGCCTCCATTTCCAAAACACACACGGAGAAATACAGTGAGGTTGATAGGATATGAAAACTTACTGGATATGGGATATTTTAAGTCCTCGGTTCTCTGAAGAGAGATAAAAGACACTGGGTATGTGCAGTCTTGAAAAAAATCGACTGAGGGGAGATTTGATAATATTTTTCAAGTATTTGAAGGGATGCCGCATAAAATAATTCCGTGACCTGTTTTTTATTTGTCCTAGAGTACAGGACGTAGAATATTACTCTTAAATTCTAGGAAGGCCGATACTGGATGAATGTGAGAAAAATAATAGTAAGAGCAGTTCACTAGTGGAATCGCTAGAGGAAAGGGGTGAGCTCCCTTTTGCTGTATGTGTTGTAGTAGACATGGACAGCCGATGGTCAGGAATGAGTTACTTGAGATTCCTGCACTGAGCAAGAAATTGAACTCAGTAGCCTAATGGCTTCATTCAACTCTTTATGATTTTATAGCTATTTCTTCTATGGGTCTATATTAATAAATGCAGAAAGCAATCCAGTTTTAATGGTAGTTTTAGAAGTTGAACGAAATCATTTAACCTGTAGCTGATTTTACATTCCTCTGTTTTTTTGTAGAAGAAAGTTGCATAATTTGCATATTTCTGTTTGTGAATGATTCCAATTCTAGGAAAATCACTTCCTTTTTTTCCCCACAGGTCAGAATGGTCTTTGAGGATTCACCATTTTTAGTTCCTGATAATAGTGTTAGCATAATGGATGGATCTTATGAAGGTGCGTCCTACCGTACAAATAAGGAAACTGAGGCATAGAGAAGAGAAATATAACTAGGGAAGTAAGAGGGGAAGAAGGGTTTCTCAGAACAGGATAAAATATTATGGTGTTGCTTTTAAGGCAACCAAGATTATAATATCCTAGGGAAACAGGATTCTGTATACAGGAAAATGATAAAGTTCCTTGGCTGCATTAGTAACATATTACTAGATGAAAAATAGATTCAACTAGTTCTAATGTCCATATGGAGTTTACAATTAGAACACATCATAGCAAAGGACAGATTTAGATAGCAATGTCATAATGAATATGCATTTATTTTATTTTGCTATTTATATACCCCCTTATTCTACAATGACTTTAGTTAGTTAACTACAATGGCATGCAAATAAAATACTAAATAAAACAAACAAATAACAGCTAAATGCTAAATAAAACACTTCTATCAAAAACTAAAATTATGATTTTTTAAAAATCAACTATTAGCACCCTTCACATACAGGCAACATGTGCTTAGTCAATCCAATTTGAAGACTTTTTAAAAAACAACAACAGTTTTCACTGTGTTCTTGAAGGACATCAGTGTAGCATTTGATAGAGAAATGGACTTGGAGAGAGGAGAACCAGTACAAAGGAGTAGTCCATGACCAATAAGATCTGCTTCTATGCCATACATAACTCTTGAAATGTGGGAACCCAAAACACCCTAAATCAAACAAATAGGATAAGCAGACACTTAAAACCAGCACCCTGAACTTTATTTGAGATCCTACTACTAACCAGTATTGTATGATTACAACAGCTCTCAAATACCAGTAGGCAAGCTGCTACATTCAAAACAATTCCAGTTTCAGCGTAGTTTCCAAGGACAATAGCATGTAAAGTCCATGCACTATGCAAGTCCATTTAATTCTCCTAATCGTAATTGTTTTGGATTGCCTTTTTTACTTTTCATCGTATTGTAAGTAGCCCAGAGTCATGTTTCAGTAAGATGCAAGGCATAATAAATAAATACATACATACATACATACATACATACATACATACATACATACATACATACACACACCTCCAGCCTAGAAGTGATAGGGACATGATTTAATGTTGCCAAGCCCTCCTGCTCCAAACAGGAGTTGAGCCCTATGGTACCCGTACTGCTCATTCTCCAGCATCACGGATTGGAACCTCTCATTTAGGAAGAAGTGAAACCAAGTGTAAAGCAGTGCCATCCATCTCCAACATCATTATCAATTGTATCAAAGGCTGCAGGTTATCCATTTGAGCAACCAATGCAGTTTCCACCCCATACTCATGCACCTCCTTTTCTACCAACTTTCTCAAAAAGAAAGATTGGAAACTGGACAGAAGTTGTCTATTGGGAACAGACTGAGGGTTTTTTGTTGTTGTTGTTGTTTTTGGAAGGAGCACGCCACCATTTCTTTCCAGGCAGTCAGATCAAAACATTCTCCCAAAGAAACCTCAGCCACTTGAACCTAGTTAAACAATTTGGCTTTACCAAATTATATGGAGAACTACTTGGAGAACTACAGTATGAAGTGGGTTTACTTTTTAATTTAGTATCACATATTCATCTAAGCTTAGTTCAGCTGAATGTCCTTAATCCAGACATTTATTTAGCTGAGTAAACTGACCTAACTTGGCAATTAGTTAAAAATGTCATTTGGAGTTGGTTTCAGTAAAATTATGCAATAAATTTGCAGGGTTTACAGAATGTTAGGAAACCTGATGGGAAAGTACAAGAACTGGAACAAAAAAAAAGAGACAGGGTAAATTTTAGATGGGGAAACAGTAATGAAAGTTAAGAGAACACCCCCAACTGATGTGAAAAGGTTGAGAAGCCAAAACAATGAATGAAATGATATTCTGTTTGGAAAAGTACTGATAATTACTGATCAGCAGAAATGCAGAGCCTGCAATAATCCTCTGTAGTCTATAGATAGATGGATTTTCAGTAGCTTTTTCTTTCTCTCTTGCAGGTATTTTAGCCTGGATCACTGTGAATTTTTTG